TTGAACACTTCAAGTAGGAAGCGAAAATTCCTTCACAATTGGGCTAATTTTAATGTTTAGGGTTTTCTTTATTTAAATGGCACTCTTAATCAAAAGCTATTAAATTTCAACTTTGAAAGATAATATTGTGAGTGTGGTAGGCTGTTAAAATATGTTTGCATTTCCTTAACCTCATTCTTTGGTACATAGTTATAACTACCTTACAATAGAGCAGTTTTAGTAAACCAGGTGATAAAGTACTTGTGAGTTTTCAGACGTTTTATGAAATATCGTTCATGCTTTAAAACTGATATCAATACTTAGGAAAAGGTGAAATTAGATGTTGGAGTCATTTGTTCAATAAGGAATTCAATCATTGGTGTGCCTGTTTGTTGTGTTAGACTAGAAAAAATCTTTATTTGCTTTTGTTTGGTGAATTAAATTCAGTAAAATCACATAATTATACATGTGCGTGACAGTTATTGACTATAGAGGATGTCAAATTATGTATAATTGATATCAATTATAGACTTCCATAAAGTTACCCTGATGTACCTTCATCCTTATAAACCCACAGACTGATCTAGATCTTGGGAGCAAGGGTAGGGGGACTGAACAGGTTGTGTAGAAAATGAAGTTTGGATCAAGTTTGGAGCTGGGATTGTCCTGATTTATACCGAAAAAGAGTTCAGTGTTGGCTGATATAGAAGTATTATGGTCTGTAAATGGTTGACTTTGATATACCATTAATTTGGAACACAGATTTAATTTCATTCTCACCTCTCTGCTACCTGTTGTTTACATTGAGCTCTAGGTATAGAATTCTGGTAGTTATCGTCTATTTTTGCCACAGGTGTTCACTTCATCAAGGTTAAACCTCCTTCAAGGTCAGCATTTAACCCTGCAGTATTTGTGTGTTCAGACCGGTCAAATTCAAGTTAATGTACGTGTCATTTCTGAAAACCAGCTGTACCTCCATTTAAAATATTGTGACATTTGGTTATTAGTAATGTAGGATTTTAAGATCTGTATCTGACAGAAGTCTGGTGTGGAGATCATGTTATGTTTGTTAAACACTTTCAATATGTTGACCTATTAAGATGGTTTACTAAGAGGGGGTATCAAATTGTAAGTTACATTCCAAGTCTGGAGTCAGAAACGGGTGTCAAGTGGTGGGAAACATCTGGAATCACTACATTTCATTCTTTTACTTTAATACAGTTTCAAACCAACATTTAAAATGTGTAAACCAGTCTTTTCTATTTCAGTATAACCTTTAAATAGATTTTTTTTTTCAAATTCACCTAGTTTCTCATTCATAGTGGGTAGAAGATATTCTTCCTAAACATCTATTAACAAACCAGCTCGTTGGAACTGTTATGGTTGGCTGCTTCAGGAAAACTTGTTTATGAGGTGATGAAGGTTTATATTTGTTATTTTTAGCCAGTTTTTCTGGCTGAATTGTTTGTGTTTACTAAGCTTTACTTACATAGGGTTCCCTGATTCGAGGAGATGATAATTGTCTCCAATTTTGTAGGTATTTAGGTCACAGCTCCTTAGGACAATCTGTCAAAGTGTTTAGAGGGAGAGATCGTGGGATCTATGCGGTGTAGAATACAAACTTTTGCAACCAGTGATAAACTGAATACAATATCACCCAGTACAATACCTAAAAACAGTACACCACACTATACCTATAACAATGTATTACACTACACCTATAACAATACAACACAGTAAACCTTACAACAGTACAACACAGTAAACCTTACATCAGTACAACACATCATAACCACAGTAATATGAAAAATGTTCAAATATGAATTAAAAAAATTTAGGATCAGTCTTTATCATTTCACAGCCATAGATTTATCATGACAGGTCAGATTGATATATTTTGGTGTGCCTTTAACACTTGATTTTTCAGTGGTAACAATTAAAATTTTTCACTTATCACTGGCCATTTCGGGACAAGTCAGATTGATATATTTTGGTGTGCCTTTAACACTTGATTTTTCAGTGGTAACAATTAAAATTTTTCACTTACCACTGGCCAGTTCCGGACAGGTCAGATTGATGTATTTTGGTGTGCCTTTAACACTTGTTTTTTCAGTGGTAACAATTAAAATTTTTCACTTATCACTGGCCATTTCGGGACAAGTCAGATTGATATATTTTGGTGTGCCTTTAACACTTGATTTTTCAGTGGTAACAATTAAAATTTTTCACTTACCACTGGCCAGTTCCGGACAGGTCAGATTGATGTATTTTGGTGTGCCTTTAACACTTGTTTTTTCAGTGGTAACAATTAAAATTTTTCACTTATCACTGGCCATTTCGGGACAAGTCAAATTGATATATTTTGGTGTGCCTTTAACACTTGTTTTTTCAGTGGTAACAATTAAAATTTTTCACTTACCAGTTCTGGCCAGTTCTAATTAATATTTGAGCAATCAGTATGATATCTTTTTGTTTACTAGTCAAAAAGTTTTCAGGTCTATAAATGTATTTTAGGTTATCTATGTTTGATAGAAGAGACAAATTGAGACATCCTTAATTTAAGTACCTCTCTCTGCACATGAAATGGTGGTTGTTTTCTTTCAAGTCTAGAAACTTTATTTTTGTATATCCTGGTGTTTAATGCAACCTAATCTGCCTACATGGGCTCTAGTTTCCTTTAAATATATCTCAGCTGCTAACTTAAATGTTCATGTCAGTATCAATTAAGGGACATGCTCTGAATTAGGGACTGGCATTATAACTTTCTCTTACATCTAATTCCTGAATTAGGGACTGGCATTATAACTTTCTCTTACATCTAATTCCTGAATTAGGGACTGGCATTATAACTTTCTCTTACATCTAATTCCTGAACTAGGGACTGGCATTATAACTTTCTCTTACATCTAATTCCTGAATTAGGGACTGGCATTATAACTCTCTCTTACATCTAATTCCTGAATTAGGGACTGGCATTATAACTTTCTCTTACATCTAATTCCTGAACTAGGGACTGGCATTATAACTTTCTCTTACATCTAATTCCTGAACTAGGGACTGGCATTATAACTTTCTCTTACATCTAATTCCTGAACTAGGGACTGGCATTATAACTTTCTCTTATATCTAATTCCTGAACTAGGGACTGGCATTATAACTTTCTCTTACATCTAATTCCTGAACTAGGGACTGGCATTATAACTTTCTCTTACATCTAATTCCTGAACTAGGGACTGGCATTATAACTCTCTCTTACATCTAATTCCTGAACTAGGGACTGGCATTATAACTTTCTCTTATATCTAATTGGTGAACAAAGAACTGGTATCATCAACTCACCCTTATATCTAATTCCTGAACTAGGGACTGGCATTATTAACTGACCCTTATGAGTTGCTAAAGGACTTGTTTCTATTTTCTTTATCAACGCAACCTGAAGAGAAAGCAGACCCAAACAGTTGGACTGTAATGCTTCTACAACCTTTCCTGGATGTCATGGGCATAAAGCATCAACTCATTGTGATTTAATTAGGGAATGAAAAAGTCAGGTTCCAAATATTGTATATTCTCAGTAATATGAATTTAAACCATGAAATTTACAGGGTTGTTCAGTGGTTAGAATAATTAAAAACAGCAGGGTATCGTGGATGACTTGTGATTTACTGGGTTGCTCAGCAAGCCAGACTTCATTTTACTCAATGCATCTGCATTGTATCCGATTATGTCACCCAGGGTTACTTCAGAATCTTGCAGATGTTTATTTGTTTTTGCATTCTCAAGTGTTTCCTATGTTCAGATGTTCACTTACAGCACAATTTGATAAAAATGGGCTCATACTAAAACAGTAATCCACCAAACCAGCTGTCATGGATGTGGAGGTTGGGGCCAATGTCAGTGTCACTGTAAAACCTCACTGTAAGATACATGTAATCGTGTAAGGTCACAGCTCAATCTATCAGAATTTCTTTGGGTTAGCACCCTAGAATTAATTTCCAAAAGTTTTTTTCTGTACATTTGTGAATGGTTATCATACGTCTGTGACTAAGCTTTGCTTTATGATTCATTTACTAAACTTTTTTTCTTCAACGATGAAGGAGGGGTAGACTGAATGCCATTCCATAGAAAAAGGCAATCTTCTAAAACCTGCTGATTTCTTGGTTTTAATTTTACTGGAAGTGCTGTCTGTATAATGAGTCATTCTCAGATAACGAAAGCCACCCCACAGTGAGAGCTAGGATAGGAACCAGGCGCGTGCACCAACAAACTAGTACGAGACTTTTTATGAAATATATCGGACTGGAAAAGCCATAACACTGTTCATTTGAAAGTTTTTACAGGAAGACTTGATATATGTTACATATGTTAACTGAAGTAAAGAGATTGAGAAAGGGCTGTCATAAATGGTATTCAGTTAGCTTTTCCTCCTGTCAGTGTGTTTCATGGTTTTCAAAAAAAAACAAAAAGGTGTAGACATTTTATTGTTTCATCAATTCAATACAGAAGAAATCAGATTGACATAATCTGTGTCAAACATTTGTTATATGGAAATTTGATGAAATTTTAAAAGTAAAATTTGGAATGAGTTAGGAAAGTGTCTATATCTATTTCATGAGCGTTATGCTTCACCATTATGATGGATGCAGCAGTGAATGATAGTGGAAGATGGCTGGAGAGGAAGTCAACGTTCCAGTGTTCCTATGACCGGCATTATATTTTTAAGTTGATGCCATAACCTTATGTTACTTTAGCTCAACTCTGACCATAGACAACCAGTCAAAACTTTTGGATTTGTTTGCTTTCGAAGTCCATCAAAGCTCCTTAAAAAATTAAAACCACTCTTAATTCTAACCTAATAAAAACTAATCTCTTCTGTCATTGAAATGTCGACCTTTTATTAACATAATAACGGCATATTCTTCTATATATAAAAAACCATCAGATAGTGAATGTGTATATGCTTAGTACTGTAGTCATCAAATTCATCATTGATAGAATTATACAATTTGCTGTTTATTTTTCAGGTGGATTTGCCAGTGTTTTTCTACATTGACCCTGAGTTCCATGACAACGTTTTCCTGGCAGACTGTACTAATGTGGTTCTCTCCTACACCTTCTTCCAAGCCAAACCAGGACTCCACTTACCCCTACCAGGCTTTCATTCAGCAAAATCTTGACCCCTGGTCAAATATGAGATTTTTCATGCCTCTCTGGTGAATCAGACATTTTGTGCTGCTGTCTACAGGCCAGGTAGACTCTGCAGTACTCATTGTGACTAAAGTCATGGTAAATGCTTAACGGTTTTCATTTGTCAGACTTTAGGACGAGTGATCTGGATGCAGCTTTCCTTCTCAACACAAATCACTTTCAACAACATGATGTCATCTCGTTGTTATTTTGTTACAGAAATGTGGACAAATGTTTTGATTCAAGGACATCAACTTTTTAAATATTTCTACTCTGTTGATGTATAAGTAGATTGAACCTGTCCATTAGAACACTGAAGTTCCTGTAACAGTATGATGTGTAACAGGATGGGTGTAATTCTAATTGCTACACAATGTACCTGACATACAGGTGTCTTTTCATGTCTAAGATAAATTAGATATACAGATATGGAATATGTGTAATCTAAGTTGCTTGATCTCCTTTGATTATTGTGTTGGGCATAATTCATTGTAAAAAGACTGCAGAAACAACATGTGATTGTAAACTTTCTGTGATTTTGTGAATAAAATAAATTATTAGATTAAAACGGAGTATATTGAGTATCTTTACCACCATGTAAATGCTCCATCTTACAATACTTCGTTCTATATCAAAGTCTATTAAAGCTGGTGACCATAGTATCTTAGGAAACCATAGGCAACACCTTTATATGACCATGGTCACCACCCTCTAATGGGACCATGGTCAACACCCTCTAATGAGACCATGGTCACCACCCTCTAATGAGACCATGGTCAACAATGTCTAATGAGACCATGGTCAACACCCTCTAATGAAACCATTGTCAACAATGTCTAATGGGTCATGGTCACTTCCCTCTAATGAGACCATAGCCACCACACACTTATAAGACTATTCAACACTGTCTAATAAGACCATAGTCAACACTCTGATGAGATCACTGTCACATCCTGGAATGAGGCCATAATCACCAACCCCAAAGAGACCATGGTCACTATTTGCTATGGTCACTCCCTCTTATTATTATTATTTTTTTTGTAACTTATCTTTTTATTCAGTACAATGTACAATAGATACATGTATGAAAATAAGCATATGCTTACAGTCTATGGCCACACCCTCTTATGAGACCCGTAATCTGAACCTGTTAATGAATTTGATGTTAACACCATGTGATAAAACCTGAATAGCACTTTCCAATAAGCCATTAGCAACACCTGTTAATGAGACTTGTCAACACACTGTTAGTATAGGGTAATACTTATTTCACAGTATTCATGTCCTTTTATGACAATTTTGAAAGATATATACTAGGAAGGTTGTTATCTTTCAGATTTAAGTTTTAATTAAAGCAGAACATATGGAAAATTCAAAAGATTTGGCTTGCATTTTTAGTTGTCAAAATACAGAATTGGTAACTGTCTAAATAAAGGTAATGTCTGTAATGAGATACAGAGATCAGAACATCAGCAAAGTTTGAAAAGTTTGTTATGCATAAAGTTATTCCGGAAATGTAGAACAATACAGCAATTGATATTAGCTGTCTAGCGGAAGATAGCTGTATATGGCTTCCTGTCAACAGGAAGTGAGCCGGAGGACTGATAAAGTACACTTCCTGTGGACTAATACTGATGGAATGCCTTACCAGACACAATATTACAGCCACTCTGCTCTAGGGTGAGGAGGGAAAGGCCACGGGGACTTTATCAGCATAATATCACTGCAACTCCACTCTATGAAAAGGAGGAGGAGGCAACTCCACTCTGTGGAGAGCAGGAGAAGGGGGCAGGGGACTAACCTTATACAATGTCACAGCCACTCCTCTCTATGGAGAGTGGGGGAAGGGGACAGGGGACTAACCTTACACAATGTCACAGCCACTCCACTCTATGGAGAGCAGGAGAAGGGGACAGGGGACTAACCTTATACAATGTCACAGCCACTCCACTCTATGGAGAGTGGGGGAAGGGGGCAGGGGACTAACCTTATACAATGTCACAGCCACTCCACTCTATGGAGAGTGGGGGAAGGGGGCAGGGGACTAACCTTATACAATGTCACAGCCACTCCACTCTATGGAGAGTGGGGGAAGGGGACAGGGGACTAACCTTACACAATGTCACAGCCACTCCTCTCTATGGAGAGGAGGAGAGGGGGACAGGGGATTAACCCTATACAATGTCACAGCCACTCCTCTCTATGGAGAGTAGGGGAAGGGGACTGGGGACTAACCTTATACAATGTCACAGCCACTCCTCTCTATGGAGAGCAGGAGAAGGGGATAGGGGACTAACCTTACACAATGTCACAGCCACTCCTCTCTATGGAGAGCAGGAGAAGGGGACAGGGGACTAACCTTACACAATGTCACAGCCACTCCTCTCTATGGAGAGCAGGAGAAGGGGACAGGGGATTAACCCTATACAATGTCACAGCCACTCCTCTCTATGGAGAGTAGGGGAAGGGGACAGGGGACTAACCTTATACAATGTCACAGCCACTCCTCTCTATGGAGAGCAGGAGAAGGGGACAGGGGATTAACCTTATACAATGTCACAGCCACTCCTCTCTATGGAGAGTAGGGGAAGGCAACTCCACTCTATGGAGGGCAGGGGATTAACCTTACACAATGTCATAGAAACTCTACTCTTGGGGAAGGAGGAGATGGAGGAGGAGCTCTATGGATCAAATCTATGGAGAGTTTTATTACAATTTGTCCCCACTCTAGGGGGAGTTATATTACAATTTGTCCCCACTCTAGTGAGACTTTTGTTACAATTTGTCCCCACTCTAGGGGGAGTTATATTACAATTTGTCCCCACTCTAGTGAGACTTTTGTTACAATTTGTCCCCACTCTAGGGAGACTTTTGTTACAATTTGTCCCCACTCTAGGGAGACCTTTGTTACAATTTGTCCCCACTCTAGGGAGACTTTTGTTACAATTTGTCTCCACTCTAGGGAGACCTTTGTTACAATTTGTCCCCACTCTAGGGAGACTTTTGTTACAATTTGTCCCCACTCTAGGGAGACTTTTGTTACAATTTGTCCCCACTCTTTTGTTACAATTTGTCCCCACTCTAGGGGGAGTTATATTACAATTTGTCCCCACTCTAGGGAGACTTTTGTTACAATTTGTCCCCACTCTAGGGAGACTTTTGATACAATTTGTCCCCACTCTAAGTAGACTTTTCTTACAATTTGTCCCCACTCTAGGGAGACTCCCAACTCTAGGGAGACTTTTGATACAATTTGTCCCCACTCTAGGGAGACTTTTGTTACAATTTGTCCCCACTCTAGGGAGACTTTTGATACAATTTGTCCCCACTCTAGGGAGACAATTTGTCCCCACTCAGTTATATTACAATTTGTCCCCACTCTAGTGAGACTTTTGTTACAATTTGTCCCCACTCTAGGGAGACTTTTGTTACAATTTGTCCCCACTCTAGTGAGACTTTTGTTACAATTTGTCCCCACTCTAGGGAGACTTTTGTTACAATTTGTCCCCACTCTAGGGAGACTTTTGTTACAATTTGTCCCCACTCTAGGGAGACTTTTGTTACAATTTGTCTCCACTCTAGGGAGACTTTTGTTACAATTTGTCCCCACTCTAGGGAGACTTTTGTTACAATTTGTCCCCACTCTAGGGAGACTTTTGTTACTATTTGTCCCCACTCTAGGGAGACTTTTGTTACAATTTGTCCCCACTCTAGGGAGACTTTTGTTACAATTTGTCCCCACTCTAGGGAGACTTTTGTTACAATTTGTCCCCACTCTAGGGAGACTTTTGTTACAATTTGTCCCCACTCTAGGGAGACTTTTGTTACAATTTGTCCCCACTCTAGGGAGACTTTTGTTACAATTTGTCCCCACTCTAGGGGGAGTTATATTACAATTTGTCCCCACTCTAGTGAGACTTTTGTTACAATTTGTCCCCACTCTAGTGAGACTTTTGTTACAATTTGTCCCCACTCTAGGGGGAGTTATATTACAATTTGTCCCCACTCTAGAGAGACCTTTGTTACAATTTGTCCCCACTCTAGGGAGACTTTTGTTACAATTTGTCCCCACTCTAGAGAGACCTTTGTTACAATTTGTCCCCACTCTAGGGAGACGTTTGTTACAATTTGTCCCCACTCTAGGGAGACTTTTGTTACAATTTGTCCCCACTCTAGGGAGACTTTTGTTACAATTTGTCTCCACTCTAGGGAGACTTTTGTTACAATTTGTCTCCACTCTAGGGAGACTTTTGTTACAATTTGTCTCCACTCTAGGGAGACTTTTGTTACAATTTGTCCCCACTCTAGGGAGACTTTTGTTACAATTTGTCCCCACTCTAGGGAGACTTTTGATACAATTTGTCTCCACTCTAGGGAGGGTAGGTGACGTTAAAATATCATCACACTTACTATTCTCTACCTTTACAATTGTTTTTAGGAAAATGAAAAGATGTTGAAACTATGGACATACTATGTACATATCAGATACGGTATGATGGCCCTAATGACCTTTTATGTGTTGACGGGCTGTTAAAAATGTAATAATAATAACTTATACATCAGTTAAAACAAAACTATTACATACGTTAGGACAAAACTGTAGTATAAATTTGTCTCACCCTACGGAGTGGACTTGTATGTCAGGAAAATCAAAAACGACTTAAACTTGAAGATACACGGGACGTTACACTAACCCGATGGAGTTAGTAAATTCAAAAAATTTTCAACTTGATGGCTTTCGGCATTTTTAATTGAATACATGTATTATCTAAAGGTTGTGAATTCACCAGCATACTAGTATGGTAGAACATTTTGTGTCCTTTTTCATCGATTTTCTAACATTCTGGCAGTTGTTACCAGGATTTGGTATTTATTCATTTTCTTTGTTTCTCTCTTGATGAAGGTCCATGCTGCCGGCCATTTCATATTTCTTCCCAAACCCTAAATCCAACAGGCACAATAAGAGCTCCTATATGGAAGCTGAGAATGATTAATTCATTCTGTCTCTAAAAATGACTTAAACGAACTTTCTTTTTCAAAATCGTCAAGACGACCAATTTGTGCAAGGATCGGGAGAAACCTTTATATAAAATATAGGGACTGTTGATCCATTATCTGTCAATGTGTAATGATAACTAAGGCTTGTCTATATCGTGTTTGATCTGTCTAACATTACATCTGGAGAAATAGTGGTTACAAGAGTTGGTTAAAGAAACGGGCGGACCACCAACAAAAGTCGCTTTGAACGACGAAACGACAGTAGAATACAATCTTTCCTCTTTGTGTCATTTTAGGCTAATTTTACAAACGTTCTTACTAACACCGTAGTTGACGTTTGATTTCATTGGAGAGTGTCTTAAAATGGAATTTTGGGTCATTGCCCTTAATTCGGCGACAGACTTTCCAATGGAAAACACTCAAACAATCGTTTGTAGGCTAGCGTTTGTGAAATACAGAACAGAGACCTACCATTCGAACTCAAAGACCTATACTCAGGACACCAAAGCAGGATCTGCAACTTGGACTCGGGGGAAAAAAACCCCTTCAATTTGGCCTCAAGCAAAGATC